TGCACATATTAAATCATTTCATTATTCCATTAGTAGTGAAAATGGCCAACACAAGTTCTACTGTATGGCGAAAAAGTGAAATTCTTCAAATATATATTTTTTGTCTATGCAACAATGCAGCACTTCAATCTAGAGGATGTTTAATAATCAGTACAAAATAAATAGTCAAAGTTATTGATTAATTAATTTAAAAGTTGCCTGTAAAATAAACAATGAAATCAGTACGTCTGATGTGTATTTTTATTTTGTAATATTTCTTTACATTACAACCAATACTTCCATTTGCTCAAACTAGTAACTCTTGAACACAATATAATGCATTTATATAATTGAGAAAAACCACCTTAGGGATTTAAAACAAACATATCTTATCCTGAATATATCTTATAAGAGCTCTCTGAATGAACAAGTCATCATACAGAGCAGAGAGAACAGTGAGCTCTGTAAATCATGTCCGCACCATTCAGTACAACACATTTCATAAACCCTGTATATAACTCTTTTAGCACAATGTGAGCAGCAAAGACACAATGCCTAGATACACAATGGTCAGCAGTATTATGCAGTTCAGTGAGTGTGCAAATTAAGGCTTTTCAACTGAGCTGTTTGTGAGAAAAGTGAAGGACACAATCAAAGCAGTATCTATGCTGGATAATGAGCTACTGTCCTGTGCTAACATCTGGGCTCTCACCATACTGTGCTGCAACACATCACACCACACACGTTTATGAAATGTCACTTTAAGTGCTACAACATGCCTGTGAAGTAGCAACAAGGACATGCTTCAAAAGATGAAATGCACACAAAAACACACACAACCTGGAGACAGCTCAGGGGTAAAAACACGTTGTAGTTGTTACATTTGTAATCTTGTTAAGGTTGTAATGAACCTTGACAGACTATAAGCATTGTAAGTCTCCTTATTATAGTGATACAGCTGTTTCTTTATTTCACACCTCAGTGAGCCTGAATAACAAAGCTCACCTCCGTGTTTAATTTACAAATCTTCTCTTTTCTCTTTTTGTTTCCCATCTCATGTGACGTCCTTCAACCCTATCCGTCTCTGTCTTTCTCTGTATTCTCCCCTCCCTCTGTTGACTCTATTGGCTTCTGACATACTTAGCGTCCCTCTGGCCTCACTATTGGCAACCCTCCGTGTCACTTTCCAGTACTTAATGCTGCCTTTTTTATGGAGGTGTTTATCCACACACTGCATCATGGCCGATTTGAAGGGATGAGAACATGTCAGTCAATGATGTCTTTCTTCAGCACTTTTATACAGGCACAAGCCTTTTTGGAAAAAAGGACTGAGGCAACGTCTCTTTGATTGGAAGCACTTTTCTTATATTCATCACGTTGCCACAACTACATTCTGAATATAACCAGAGTTTAAAAATAAGGATTTTCAAAACAATTTCTCCTGCTGTGCAGTGTAGGTATGATTTTGCGACGCTTGATGGTCTTATGTTATCCCCTATATAAAAAGAAAATCGTACGATGTGTAGGAAATGTTTCCATCCTTCCATGGTTACAGCCTTGTTATTGTAACTACATACTTTATGGGAATATTCAAATGTATAAACATAGATACACTATGCACTATCTATACTTTGAGTTATAGATTAAAGATCTAGTGTGTGTGTGTTTTGTAAACGTCAAGTATAATTGACTTTTGTTCGTCTTTGTCCACATCCTTTATTTTTCTGTGCAATATCCCTTTACCCGTCAATCATCTTTTTGAGTCAGTTGAAGGTATGTGTTGTGCCAGAGCTAAACAAATCTATATTATTGGGAAAAGTTGAGATCAAATCAAGACCGAAAAAAACAAAAGAGCTCAATGGCAACGTGCAGGAACTGCTTGAGAAAGTCACTAAGCAGGATTTCCTAAGAAAAAAGACCAACCGAGGGAGGAGAAAAACACCTGGACAAAACAGCGCTCTGGAACAAGAGGTTCAGGATACCACCGGCACAATTAGCGAGGACAGAAGGATGAGAGACAAATCCTTTTCCGAGAGAAATGCCAACAAAAATACAAAACTACGATCTAAAGATGAAAATGGTAGACCTGAAAGCACGATACCAAAGAAATAAAACTTTCCACGACACATGCATGTATAATGCCCTGAAATCTCTAAACTCTAAGATGAGTCTACTTGAAATATACGTCAATAAATGTAGAACGTTTTTCGGAGGGCAAATTGTTACATTTTCCTAAAAAAATCTTAATCCCAATTTTTTTCAGTGTACTGCTTATCAAGTTTTAATTTAAATAAACAGAGACTAGCAAGACAACATAATTGATACTTTGGCTTTAACAGGGTCAAACCTTTTCTATTGAAATCCTCTATAAGGACAAAACAATCACCTCACAATTGAAAGCATTGAAGGATTGTTTGTCATCGTCACAAGTAGGAACACAGACCCGTGACTTCATGTTTTGTCCTAGATCTTAAAAGGGAGGTAAGAATGGAGAAACCAGCTCGAGTGCGCTAGAATTTGAAAGTATGCAGCCGAAAAAAATCAGACTTCCTTACAGAGCCCCTCCTCCAACACACACAAACACGCACATGACCAATGAGGGCACGAGATAAGTTTGTGCACGAGATGGAAGGCTGACAGGCAGGTAGGCCATCCAGTTATTTTAGCCGGGCCGGCTCAAATGATTGGTCGTGCTTTTTACACTACTACGGCTTCCACAGCGGATTTTTTTTTTATGTATTTATTGTCAAAGCATTTAATATATTCATTGCTATCGGGATGTTAAGAGCATTCCATGGAATATAACAAAAAGTTTTTCTGAAGTGAATTACCTACCCCAACCTTAAGGTATTCTAAATTAAACTATACAGGAGATATATATGATCTATAAATCCACGCTCAGCTTGTTGTGATCTCGTTCTGCAATGCTGTCTCATGATACATTGCATTATTTCTCATAGCAGACAACTCCTTACACAATCTCCATTCATTAACCCTACAGACATTGAGTGTTGCTGATTAAGCAAGGCAGGGGGAAAGAAGTAGTTTACTTTCTGTCCTTCGATTTAGGACGCAGGCTAGCTCTCCTGGCTAGCAGGATGTAACTGCTCAGGGCTGTAAACTGTTATGCAGAGTTTTATTAGGCCAAATATGGATACACGTACAGACTCAGTAAGCATAATCTGTACAGTCTATCCCTCAAGTTATTTTGCTTCTCTATTTATATCCTATTGCATCTAAATCAGTATGTGAAGCACAGCACAACGTGAGCACAATGACCCATATACTAATCGGAAAACAGGACACCTTAAGCATGAGTTAGGATGGTAAAGTGTATGAAGAGAAAATGAAGTACATATACGTAGTGCCGTTTTGTAAACACCACACTGCAGTGAAACATCACCTAAATTATCTCAATAAGAAGACACTTATACACAGACATAAATATTAGGGATGCACCGAATATTCGGCCGCCGAAAATTATCGGCCGAAAATGGTTAAAAAGGCCCTTTCGGCTTTCGGCCGAAAGGGTTCTAGCACCGAAAAAATATCACCGAATGTCAGAGAACAGGGTTACGTTGGTAAGCTAACGTGTTGTTGTGATGACGTAATCAAAACNTACTAATTATCTTTAATATATATTACATATGTAAAAAATGGTTACAACAAGTCACGGCTAATACCTTTTATTTACTAATACCGTTTTGAAATTGAATTTATTATTAGTGATAATACCCAGGGTATTTTGTAAATAAGTCGTGAAAACTTACGTATGTCATGTAAGTTAAAGTTCAGTTCACGTAAAGAAAAGAGACACCTATTGATGTTGTTTCACGAGTCTTGTTTCGGTTCCACAAAAATTTTACGGTATTTTTAGATCCGGTCATCCGGATGTTGTTTTTCACATTTATTTCCCCTGACATTGTCCGGTCCGGAAGTTGTTGTTGTTTAAGTGGATATTCACGTACCGTATGTTTACACGTTTGACCTATTTAGGTGTACTTACGATTGATAAATGGTTTACTTTAATGTAACTTAAAGTTCTTAGTCGGCATTCGGTTTTCGGCCAACTGTTTCCTATTTTCGGTATCGGTTTCGGCCAAGAATTTCCCATTCGGTGCACCCCTAATAAATATGCATTATTTACCAGTTTATTCAAAGTTAAAAATATACAGTAATTATTTTGTCCAAGCTAATATGTCTCACAATGATACAGCAAACTAACATTGCCTAACTCAAATACCTTGACAACACTTTAAAACACTAAATGATGAGTCAAAATGATTAAGAGAACCTGCACTATCACAGAAGAGAAGTCACAGCTCAGCCTCAGCAACATGGACTAACAGCAACTTTACACGTTTTTTCAAAGTGACAACGTTTAATAAAAAATGTCAACCTCACATACATAATCGAATATAAAAAGGACAGAATTCTTTACGGCAAGGTTTTAGTATTGGTTTGCACTATGTTGTGAAGTGTTCCTGTTACCTTGTCCCTTTGGGAAGACAGACACTATGGACACAATAGTTTTGAAATGCAGGGCCAAGTTTGTGTGCCATGGTTTACTGATAAACTGATAAACTGCTGTTCAATAATATAATTCAGCAACATTCCACCTGTCTCATTGATTTCAACAGCATCGATATCAGGTCACATGACTTGTTAAGTTTTATAAGAAGCAGGATTCTCTTCTTTCTCTTTAGAATCTACAGTTACAATAATTTGTAATAACCTTCACCTTGTTTGTAGAATACTTATGAGAAAACAATGAAAATACCAGTGCATTAGTTAAAATACAAAATAATGTAAGACTTCACTAAAATCTTAAATATCAGGAAAACAAAATACTTTGAAGCCTAATGAGGTTTCAGATCATTACCATGAGGTTCACATTACGCAACATATTCAGTTGAACATGTTTTACCCCTACTACTGTACATACTTGTACTGTAAAGAATCAAAACAAATAGGATTCTTGTTAAAACAACAAATAATATTTATGATAGAGAATACTTTACCTGAGAGTCTGATCAGGGTTTTCCCAGCCTGGGCGTACTGCCAGCTGTGGTTATCCAGCACTGCCATTGTAAACCAAAGCCAGCACCAAACCGTCCCTATCAATCTAGGCCTACGCTACGCTATGCTACACTACACCCTACACAGGTCTACGTCGAGCCCCCTACCAGATCTAGCTTTCTGACCGTACCCTTGTTGTATGACAAGTAGGCAAGTGAACCACAGCGGTGCCATACATTGGCCAACGCCCCTGCCACCCACTGAGCTGCAGAAAGCCAAAGACCCTGCCAGCTCCTTTTGGCCTCCACCAACCAGCTTTTCACTGCTGTGTCCCCCCCCCCATGTCACAAACCCCTCCCCAAAACAAGATTTAGTAACAAGTGCTGCTTTGCATTAAACAGTTTCTCCCCTGTGTGCCAGGCTGGCTACTCACAGGGGGGGGGGAGAAAGGGAAAGAGTTAAGCCAGCCAAACAGTTGTCGTTGGTGGATTTGTGGGTGAAATAGGCTTTAATGATGATTGGTTGTAATCTCTTCTCTGAGTAATGCTGCTGGTCACTCTGAGCTTTGAGACGGGGGCACGTAAGGATTCATAATATTAATAAAGACCCCTTTACATCTTACACAAAGTGTTTATTAACAGCTTGGTGAGATTTAATTTACCTTCTTTATAAAAACATAGAGTGAAAATTCCCAAGTACATTCGTCTTGTTTTCTTTTAATATATATGACATAAAAGCCTTGAATATGACAGCATTTTTAGAGAAGTTTATCAACAGGCGCTTTTGATGCAAAACCAATAGCAAATAATAAAAAAATGTAAGCAGGCACACTACAGTAATCGCTTTATTCATGTATGGTCATGTGCAAAGTTTTTGTATGTTTAGCTCATCTTGACATCAATAAACCTTTAGAAGTCCAACATCTCCATCTGTGTGTAAATTCATTGAGACCAAATGATGTTTTCCCACTTTGAAGGGATTGGCTGAATCTGATTCAAACACTAATGCTTACCAACTTTTATAAACCAACTGCTTGACTGCAAGCCAATATCTTTTGAACGGAGGAAACAAAACAAAGAGCTCATTCACTGTTTACTCCTAAAGCAAAATTAAGCTTCTTTGTTGTCTCTCCAAAGAAAAGTCAAGGGGGATTACCATTTATTTTCCACACTGCGAGGAAAGCTCTGATAAGCTCCATAAATAGGTTTACGAGACATGGAGCTCAAACGCAAGTCCAGAAAAAGTCATGATCTAGCTACTTTAAACTCCTTTGATTAACATGCATCAGCACTCAGACTGCAGCAAAGTGGCATAATAACGCATTATGAGCAGGCATTTCTGACACACAGTAAAAAAAAATCCGTAGACATTCACATTTTGATATAGTTGGCCTTCTCCAGCACTTTTGTGAGACAACATACCGACTCTGTTAGCAGTCTGACATGGCTCCATAGTCAGCCGACCTTTCCTGTCCCTGAGAAAGCCCATGTAGTGGAAACGGAACAACATGGTCAGACCGGCCATGGTCAGGGTCACAGATAACAATCCAAAGTTCAAAAAGGAGCTTCCCAAAGAACAGTGATCCCGTGGGTTTTATCCTACTCATAAGTTATCCAAGCACAAAGACGCTGGAAGCTAACTTCATTGCTGTGTTCATGTTTTGTCTCGGTGTGTGAGAGCTGACAGCCTTCTCTTCTCTGAGAGTTGAAAGTAAGGCCTGCACTGCTGCATGCATGTAAGCGGGCCAGGTCACATATTTGAATGATCCTGTTGGAATAAATAACTGAGAGGGATTGTCACTTCTGAGATAGAGGCATGGGGTTGGCTGGGGGGGGGGGGGGAGCTGATGAGTGACTGTGTAGTAGGTCAGGTCTTTGCCGATGTACTGCAGATGACTTGGTTGTTGATTTTTTTACTTCTTACTTCCATCATTCCTTGTTACCAAGGTCATGTTGACCTTTATCAGCTATCTGTCATATTTAAACAACTTATAGTAGAGATTCATCAAGAGGACAGTGATATTAGCTTCACTAAAAGAATGTGGCCTCCAGAGAAGCTTGTCTCTATGACCTCCAAACAGTATTTAACTGTTTAATTTTGCACTACTGTAGCAGAGAGAGAGAGAGAGAGAGAGTAGAACGACCACAAGAGAAGAAGTAGTGAGTGTGAGACACAAATGGAAAAAAGAATAAAAGCCCTTTTCAATGCTGTGCTTCCATGTGCATCTGTCTGCTTGTAAGCCCACAACAGTATACAGAGCAATCTCACTGGGCAGCCAGCTGAGTCGCATCAACACATCAATGAAGTGGAGAGGAGGGCGCTTTGTACGGCTCGGGAAACACTATTCATCAGCTTCCTCCAACCCTGCTCCGATTGTCCCGCCATGCAACAACACTGAGCCAATAAACCACAGTGCACCGAATTATACTTGACGGGCAGGGAGCAGAAGGGAGAGAGTGTCTGTGGTTTACTGTATTAAGAAGGGGTAAAAGGGCAGAGAAGGAAAACAGGAAGGAGAGAAAGTGCTTGAGACAAAACTGTTTCAGTTGTCCTTCATTCATTTCAGACAGTAATGGCCCAAAGCAGATGGGACTTAAACTGAAGATATCAGACTGTGGGAGAGAGATGACTAAGAGAGAGGATAGATATGTCTCCATCTACCTGTTTTTGAAAGCACTTTCACTTTTGCAGAAGATGCAATACAGGGTGATTGAAATACTTGTGTTTAATATATCTTGACATTATGGTGTCTGCTTATAAGGTGGACAAAGCAAAGGCTTGCTGCCCCTCAGCATTACGTGCCTCTGTGTCACCAAAAAGACAGAGATTTAAAAGAGTGGGATATTAAATGTCATCCCCCTCTCTATAAACATAGTGGCTGATAAAAAACTAAATAGGATACACGTGTGACAGAAGCGCACCTTCATTAAAAACAAACCAATGCCATTTTATATGGAAAGTTTTTAGTTTCTTAGTTGTGCTCAATTTATTATTTAATTTGTCACACCAACTGCTTTTTTAACATAGTGGGTAGTGCTAGTGGGATGGAATATGCACTTCAGATTTTATTTTTGCATGCATTTCCAAATATAACTTTAAAGTTGTGCAACATTTGGAAGCATTCCAGAGAGACAAAGAGAGAGGAAGGGAAAGAAAAAGCAGATAATGCTGGAGATAAATATGGTGCATACAATACCATACACAACAATAGGAGAAAATAAAGCATAATCACAGTATCCCAAGTGTGTTCCTGCTTGCAACAAAATATGAAAGACCACCACCCCATTTCACAGCAGAACTGTGCCAAATGACCTCAGCTGACTGCAGCCGTAACAGAGCAACAGCTGAGCTCTGATAATAGGATTACTGACTCTTACAAACCGTAGGGACGATGTTTAAAATGAACATAATGATTAAGAGCAGTCATTAACACACGTGTTATGATGTTGCTGGAATTTCCATTTTCTAAACAAGACCCTCAGTAAACCAACATTGTGCTAAACAGAATGCAGTGGTGTGCATGTGTCAGTCGATGTTAGAATAAAAAGGAAAGACAAATAAAACCTGTAATTAAGTAAATGAGCACAACAGCAAAAGATATGCTGCCGAGCCATCTTGCTGCTTCTGTCATTTCTTATTCATGAACAGTATCTGTAATGAATGACTAACAGTTTTGGATGACAAAGATAATCAAACGTGTCTTTTTGTCCCAACAAATCCAGAAAACAGATCAAAACTATAATGAGTGAATCTAGTTGTCTTAAAAATATTGTTTGTGTCTGTGTGCACCTGCAGGGCTTCCAGCTTGCCAGAAGCAGGACAGTTCCTGTTTACAAGCTCAGCAGTCACAAAAAGAAACATACATGCACACACCCATATTCTATCATTGTCTTTGTCCATGTCTTCCGCTTTATTCCTTTGGTTTCTAACCCCCTTCTTGTCCTCTCTGACATTCTTCTCCAGTCATTTCCTATCCTCACCTCCCTCCCCTCATCCCTCCTCTCTGCCTGTCTCTCCATCCCTCCATACCTCTGTGAATAGATTTTCACTAGACTTGACCTCAACAAAGACAATGTCCTGTTGAGTACACACACAGCAGACAGGGAACTACAGGCCATGGCTCCAAGGCCTTACTCCAAGCCAGGGGGCGGCTGGTAGGTCCCACGGCCATCCACTGTTATTACGGCTCTGAAAACAACTGGCTTATGCAAACAGGGAGCCACGGGACTCTGGGACGGAACATCTGACTTACATGCATGGATACACACGTGCACAAACACCCCGACAGAGTGGCCAGAGGTCACTAAGGGAAGCAAAAAAGGTTACATGTTTTAATCATAATTTCACTGAATTATCATTCCGCTCAAACCGTACTTGCTTTGGAGAAGGGCCTAATGTAAAACATTCTATTTCATGTGTACAAAATGATGGTTTGCAGTGCCAAAAGTAATACATAAAGAAATACTGTAAATAGGCAGCTCTTAGTTGTGGGAGTATGTTCGCAATTTGCCAGTTGATTTACAGCAGTGTTTTTTTTTCAAAGGGAAATATTTTACACCAATTTAGACAGCCTAACAGCTCCAAATCTAATCTAGTTATTTTAACATTTTAACAAGTGTCTCATTTTTAATAATCCTCCATGTGTAAAAGGGGGGAGACTGAGAGCTGAAAAAGACAGAGAAACAGATAGAGGTGAGAAAAACAAGAAGTTGGGACAGGAATAGAGAAGAAGAGAGAAACAAACATTACTTCAGACTGGTTTGTGTCTGCTCCCAATTTGTGATGCTCTCTTAAGCCATTTAATTGTAGGTCTTTCTTTTATGACTTGAGGGCTCGAACTTGAAGCAAACAACACAGAACCACATCTGAATCCGGACTCCACCCCAACGGTACAGGATACCATATACAGTAATGTTATAGGTTTCATAATTATCTGCATGATTTGTTGTATTTAGATACCAGATACATGGGATACACAGAGTATAACTACATTGAAAATACATCAAACAGCAGAGAGACAACATTATTCGGAGAGGAGAGAGGTAAAGACCCTGCACTCTTTGTCTAAAACAGTAGGGGTCGCTATATATCAACTCCATCAAAGATAAGAGCATACACATACAAAGATGTATGTAGTATGTGTGACATT